AGAAACCCATCCGTTCGTCATAAACATCGTTTTCGTTAGATTTAGTTGAAGACCCATCTTTCCACAGGCGTTGTCAAAATCCGTCAACATTTGTTTTGTTTGGCTAATGCTTGGTGTTATAAGTACGATAAAAACCGCAAAGCGAAGATGGTTTTATTGTCGACCGTCAATTTTCATCCCCATGTCGTCCCTTTTAAGGCTCGAATGACGTTTAAGAGGGTGGCAGTAAATAACGTTGGCTAAATTGCATCGCCTTGTCGGACTCCTCTTCTTACGTCGATGGTAATATTGTTGTGGAATAGAGATGTTTTGGTCAAGAAATCTTTATATAGGTCACGAAAGCTCATTATGTGTGTGTAGGGACGCCCTGTTTGCCCAGAGCCTCCGTAACAGCTTCTGTTTCCACTGAATCAAAGACTTTCTTCAAATTGATGGAAGTGAGACAGAGCGGCACTTTGTGTTCACGCGAAAGATCAATGAGTCTTGTGAACGTGAGGATGTGGTCTGTGGTATATTTTCGGAACCCCGTCTGTTCGCAGGGCTGCCCTTCGTCCAGAGTTCTCTCAGTCCTGTTCAGGATGACTCGAGGGAAGAGTTTATAGATAAAGAACAGCAAACAGATTGGGCGACAGTTGCCTATGTCGTAAAGGTCTCTCTTTTTAAACAGCAATACGGTCTCGCTAGCTTTTCATTGAACGGAAGCCTTGCATTCTGACAGGTAGCGAGTGAAGAGCCGAGCCAGGGTGTTGAGAGAATTGGCGGCAGATTATCCAGGTGTTCTGGTCCAATCCTGTCTGAACCGGATGTTGTTCTGTTCTTCACCGACGATACAGCGTGTCATATTCTGGAAAAGAGGACCGATGGAACGACATATTCGTCTTCTTTTGATTCATATGACGGTAAGATGACATGTCTAGCGAAAAGATCCAAGTAGGACTGGTGAATGATTTTCTTCATTACCCTTCTGGAAGGTGTAAGTATCTCGTCAGGGCATCGCAGTGAAATCATCTTGGTTTTATGATTTTGCTAATGTTTTGCCCAACTTCTGTAGCTTCTGCCATAACTGCTGCTCGTTTCTCTTCAAGGTCTTTTTAGCGCTTCTCTGCAGAGCTTTGCAAGCTCGCGCGTAAGGTTTTGGTTGCCTGTAGCTCGTGCAATCCACGTTGACATATCAGCTCGAGTGTCTGCGGAAACAAGAGCCTTTTTCTGATCTTGGGACTCTCGGATTCAAAGTGCCAACGTGAAGATATTCAATACGCCAGTCGTAACCTTCGTCAGCGGCTTTCTCTTCTTCTGCGAAAAACGGAACGTTGCGCGAAGGAGGCGATGGTCTGATCCTGTGTAGAACTCTGAAACAACAGAGACATCGGTCATCCAAGACCTTCGATTCATTAAGATGTGGTCTATATCGTTATGGTACTCTTCACTGGGAGACTCCCACGTTCGCTGTTGAGAAAGGGGCTCTTGGAATTGTGAGTTACCATGAGCGATTTGGGTCGTCATGATGAAACCAGATAGCTTCTCAGCCTGTTTATTCCATCCGTGAGTCCCAATGTGACGTTCCTCAGGTGTTCTTCTAGATCCAGTTTTTGCGTTAAATCTCCAACAATGACCATGAGGAATGCATGGTCTTCTCCGAAGAATTTTTCGAGATCCATATAGAACGTTTCGACTTCGACTTCGTCATAGCTTGATGTTGGTGCATAAGCAATGAAGATGCTCAAAGCCGGTATAGAACCACATCTCTTCAACCGCAATCGTCCGATACTCGTTTTTTAGTTGTTCAAATGAATTGACGTTCACGGTCAAATTCGATTTGACGAGTACGCCAACGCCGCCGACACTTCTGCTATCGCATGCTCTAAGAAACAGTTTTTTCTCCGGTGTCGTAAACAGCGTGAAAATTATGGCGTTAACTCGTCTCAGCTAGGCCAGTGACGTCGCACCTTATCCTTCTTGCCAACGGATTCGCGAGCAAGGGTTCTTGCATTATAGGTACAGATCGCCATTTTAGTCCGTTTCGATTTTGGCAGCCTAGTTCAACCCTGAGATTTTAGCAGCCTCTCCGTATTCGTGGTACCTGTTCACTGCCGCACCAGGTGCTCTTTCAGGATCAGATTAATAAGGTCCATATCTCCCACTGTTTTTAGAATTTTGATACTAGCGTATAGTTTGCCAGGCTTTAAACGTAGGGGGGAGGGAAGGGGAAGGGGGAGGAGAAGGGTACTGTGTACTCACGAGTAGCTTGCCAGTCTTTCTCGCAGGTGCGGGAGAAGCTTAATTGTTGTAGACGGCTCCTAACCGCCTCCCATGTACTTTCCAGCCGGTTGACTGCAGGATTTTGGCAGACTTGATTAGTAGACACACTGCTGTTAAAATACCTATTGAGATTTCCAATGGTTTTAAATGATGTGTACCACTTTGGCGTCAGGCGGCACATGAACCTGCATCTCACCTTTTCCTGGGGTTTGTGCTTCGCCAAATGCACTATTGATATTGGCGAAGAAAGAGTGGTGATAAAATAGTGTTGCTAGTGCAATCGTTAGAACATACGCGTCTAAAGATAATGAGATGCAGGTTTGAGTCACCTGGCATCACTCAATATAATTGGCTATACTTGTAACATCATGCCACCGCTAGAATGCAATTTAATAAACAGAAATCTTGTCAATGAGATATGCCGATTGAATTGTTTAATCAAATTATTTAAAGGATTAGGTTACAATCGTAATCACAATATGTTGCAATATTAGTCAAAATGATGGTACGCTTCTTTGAAGGTGCTATTTATTCATATATTTTTTATATACGAAACATCTTACATGGTGACTTTTATGAGACTTTGAGGATGACGACTTTCTGTATCAAAAAAACGCCATTTTTTATTCCTCAATCTATAGTTTGAATTTGGTAATTTCAAATGGTAATGGAATTATTCAATGTCGGAAAAGTAAGGCAGATAAGATAAATTCTTTTGAAACCTTCCACCTCAGCTCTTCCATGATGTTTTTGATCGGTTTTGCAAATGAAGTCGAAAGTTATCTTGAGGCAAATTTGCGAATCTCGCAAAGTTTAATTTTTTCAATATGTTTTTGGGATTACTTAAGCGAAGAAATGATTGATCGACCTTATCCGCTGTACAAGAAATTTTCATAGAAGTGTTAGTAATCATTCGAAAGATCAAATTTTTTACTGAAATCACATGACTCCGTTTTTATGAAACACCCTTCTATTGCGTTGGAAATTAAGAATGAAATCTTATTCTATTTCGGCCGCGTGCATTTATTTTTATCATGAGTGTAATTCTCTGCAAACACGAAAATCATACGAACGTGCAGAGAAATTCTCGCAGTGTCTGCATGAGTCGTATTATATTGAGTTTTTTTTGGAGCGGAAGAAATTTTTCCAGGTGAAAAACAAGTTTCACTCCGACCGTCAGACCCGTCAGATCATCAACTGATCGCCTCGTCCCTACGCGAAGGTTAGTCGGCAAACAGTTGCCGGATATGTGTAACTTTATTTAATTTCTCCTGCTTTATTACAGTGAAACATTCTTCCCAGAAAATAAATACAGCCTTGGAATTATTGAAACTTACGCTATTGAATATTTACTGATAGTCTAGAGAAGAGCTTTGTCATGTCTAGTCTGAAACACAAATGATCTCTCTAGAACACCAACAAAAAAGATCGTCCAAACAGCAAGTACATTTTTCAGTTCTTCGAGACATACAGTTGAAAGAGTGCTGGCGCTATAAGGAACGAGTTTCGTCAAACGAACTATAGGCGATGTACGAGAAAAAAACGTGGTCATGTGAAACTTATTCATATTCAAATTTTACAGAGTCATCATGGGTGTTTTGAAAAACCGGTCAAGTACGGCTTTAGTCAGAGATCTAAGCTTTCGAATGGTTACCGATATTTTTATATAAAGTTACCTCTCCAGCGAATGAGGTGGAATATTAATTTAATCCTTGATAACTGAGATGTAAGGAGTTTCACAATAAAATTGCATAACCTCGGTGTAGTTCAATTTTCGAAATTTCCTGCAGACATTTTGGTATCCAACTTTCCCAAACATGTTTCAGTACGGAATTGCCGTAGGAATAAATCTGCCTGCTACTCATGCAGAGATGGCGCGCCGGGGTTAAAAGGCTGATGAAGCGGCGTCAAGATTAATGAGCAGTTTGCCATTAATCTTGTGCACCGCTCCACTAGCATTTTCCCCTGCGCGCCATTCGCACAAAAGTAGCAAGCGAATCTGCTCCCACGACAGTTCCATCCTGGAGCAAGTACAGGTTAATTGCATATTGAAATGTTACCAAGAAAATGCGCAATTGAACAAAACCAAAGTTAAGCACATTTAACTACTTTTGTTTGATAAATTTGGTGTTTATTGCACTAGTGTTGGAATATGTGGAGCGGTCTAGCTGAGAAGAGGCCAGGCATAGAGGGTATGCTTGGCAGAAAATACTTATGTGTCTATGACTTGGCATGGTTTCCTGAGTTTGTTGCGCTTTTGAGAAGCAGCTGTCCAGATTGCCTGTCCATTTTCACCCAGAACGGCTAGTTCTGGGAAATGTGCGACATGAGAAGAAGGCAAAACTGAGATGCAAAGAGTGTAATCTTGTATGTTCAAAACAAACAACCCCATTAAAGCTGACACCTATATTTTTGCTCCATCCAGTCGCGCTCTAATCGAGATATAATCGCGCTCCAACTGAGATTCAATCGCGCTCCAATCGCGATCCAATCGCAATCGATTCGTGCTGCGTCACGAACGGCTTCTTAAATCTCGTTGTTCGTTTGGTGGCTGTTTGTCACCCTTGTGGCCTCGGCAAACGTGAGTTACGTTTACTCAATCAAATTGATTTCAGAAATAAGTTATCTATCAGAATTTTATCATACTTTGTTTATGTTGCTGCATCGAGTGGTGTGCAAAAACGTTTGGGTCAGCCGAGATTCGAACCCATATCTCATTCTTTCTGTGGTGAGCAAAACGAGCGTCGGTGGTGCAACGATTTAACACATGTTCCTGGAAAGAGTAAGATCTGGGTTTGAATCCCGGCCGGCGCAAACGTTTCTGCACAACACTCTACATCATTGGGTTTATCGAAACATCGTTCCACCGCAGTGGGCGGTCAAATAAATAGATTTACGATTGATTATCGAAACCCAACATCTGTCAACAAAAAGGGGTTCAATGTTGATAATCACTGCCCCGCCACACCGTAGACGGTTGGCTCTCGGCAGATAACGCGTTGTAGTGTAGAAAGAGTGGGCCGCAAAACGGGCGCTGGTTATGCAACGGTTTAGCACAGCTTTCTGAAAGAGTAAGATCTGGGTTCCAACTCCGGCTAACGCAAACGTTTTTGCACACCACTATACATCATTGGGTTTATTGAAACATCGTAGCACCGCAATCACCTTTATCAACTATCGTCCGTTGGTCCGTTAATCGTCGAGTGACTCGAGCTGGTGCCAGCAACACTTCCATTTTCCCTGTTGCGTGCAAGAGTAGGTCAGTGAGTCCTCGCTCTAGGAATTCGCTGAGCATCATATCTTTCCTCCATCGCTTTTGTGAAGTTACGGACCAGCGGGTGAGTGGTCTTCCTTTAGAGCGCTTGACTTCCCGAGGAATCCACTCGGTAACGGCTCTCGTCCATCGTTTGTCGTTGAAGCACATCAATTGTCCGGCCTCCCTTATTTTCGATATCCTGGCGTGTAGAACGGCGTCTCTGATTTTCGATCATAAGTTGGAACTTTGGATCCTTTTTCTCACTTGCGAGATACGGGACACTCCTAGCATCGACCTTTCGACTGCTCGTTCGATAACGTCAAGTGATCTTACATCCTGCTTAAGTAGCGACCAGGTTTTTGCATCACACGTTAGGGCAGGGATTATTGTCGAGTCGAAAAGGAGGGCACGGAGTCGGATGTTCTTAGTCCTCTTCACTATATCTTTGATGCTCTTAAACGTTCCCCAAGCCGCTCGTTTCCTCCTGCTCAACTCTGGAGCTAGGTCGTTCATCATGTTGATTTCACAACCTAGATAGACGCAACTGGATCATTCGGAGATTATCGCTTCGTTAAGCGTGAATGGGACATTCAGAAACCCATCCGTTCCTCATAAACATCGTTTTCGCTAGATTCAATTAAAGACCAATCTTTCCACAGGCGTTATCGAAATCGGTCAACATTCGTTCCGCTTGGCTGATGTCTGGTGTTATGAGAACCATATCGTCAGCAAAGCGAAGATGGTTTAATTGTCGACCGTCAATTTTCATTCCCATATCGTCCCATTCTAATGTTCGCATGAGGTTTTTTAGGGCGACAGTGATAGTCTTGGCGAAAATGTATTGCCTTGTCGAACCATTCTTCTTACGTCAATGAAGATGCTGTTGTAGAATGGAGATATTTTGGTCGTGAAATTTTTATAAAGCTCACGAACGATCATTATGTACCAAGTTGGGACGCCCTGGTTATCGAAAGCCTCTATAACCGCTTCTCTTTCCACTGAATCAAAAGCTTTCTTCAGATCGATGAAAGTGAGACAGAGTGGTTGTTTGTACTCTCGCTAAAACTTCAATGAATCTTGTAATCGTGTGGATGTGGTCTATGGTGCTATATCTTTTTCGGAACCCTCCTTGTTCGCATGGCTGTCCTTCGTCCAGTGTTCTGTCGATCCTGCTTAGGATGACTCGAGTAGAGGGTTTGTAGACAACGGACAGCAAGCGGTTTGGGCGATGATTGCCTATGTCGTGAAGGTCTCCCTTTTCAAACAACGATACGGTCTTGCTGGTCTTCCATTGAATAGGGATCTTGCATTTTGATAGGTAGCGACTGAAAAGCCGAACCAGGGTGTTGATGAGAACTGGCGGCAGACTCTTCACATGTTCTGGTCTAATCCTGTCTGGACCTGGTGTTGTTCTGTTTTTCACCGAGGATATAGCATGTCGGATTTCGGAAGGGAGGACTGATGGGACGACATATTCGTCTTCTTTTAATTTATATGACGATAAGAAAACATGGCTAGCGAGGAGATCCGAGTAGTATTGATGGATGATTTTCTCCATAGCCCTTCTGGAAGCTGTAAGTGTCCCGTCAGGGCATCGGAGTGCAATCATCTTGGCCTTATAGTTGGCGAAGCCTCGCTGGGCTTTGCGAATGCTCTTCCCAGCTTCTGCAACTTTTGCCATAACTGCTGCTTTTCTCTCTTTAAGGTCTTTTTTGATCGCTTCTCTGCACGTTTTGCAAGTGCGGACGTAAGGTTTTGGTTGCACGAAGCTCGTGCGATTCCATGTTGACTCACCAGCTCGAGTGTCTGTGGAGACAAGCGTCTCTTTGTGACCTTAAGACTCTCGGCTTTCATAGCGCTAACGTGAAGATATTCAAAGAGTCGATCGTATTCTTCGTCGATGTTGTCGACATCGGTGTCTTCCCAAGAGCCGACTAATGATTTTGAATACATCCCAGTTTATGGTAGTTTTGGGACTCCGTTGTTTGAATTTAGCGGTTTTCTTTCCTCTCCTCAAAAAATGGAACGTTGCCCGGAGGAGGCGAAGGCGATGGTCTGATCCCGTGTAGCACTTAGGAACAACAGCGACATCGGTCAGGCAAAAGCCTTCGATTTACTAAGATGTGGTCTATTATGTTATTGTACTCTCCATTGGGAGACTGCCACGTACCTCGCTGAGAAAGAGGCTTTTGGAATTGCGAGTTACCATGGATGGTTCTAGTCCTTCATGATAAACTCAGATAGCTCCCACCCTGTTCATTACATTCTAGTCCATGGGTTCCTATGTGACGTTCTTGAGACGTTCTTCTAGGTCCAGTTTTTGCGTTAGAGTTTTCGACAAGGACTTTGAAGAATGTACGATCTTCTCTGAAGAATTTTTGAGGTCCACTTAGAACGCTTCGACTTCGTCTTCGTCATAACTTGATGTTGGTGCGTAAGCAACGAAGATGGTCAAAGCCGGCATAGAACCATATCGTTTCAACCGTAATCGTCCGATACGGGTTGTTAATTGTTAGAAGGAATCAATGTTCACGGTCAAATTCGATTTGACGAGGACGCCAACGCCGCGACACCTCTGCGATCGCATGTTGCAAGTAACGAGTTCTTCTCCGGTGTCATAGACAGCGTGAAAAGGATGGCGTCTTCTCGTCTCAGCCAGGCCAATGACGTCGTACCTTATTCTTCTTGCTTGAATCAATAGATCTTCTACAGCGGATTCGTGAGCAAGGGTTCTTGCGTTGTAGGTACAGATCGTCATTTTAGTCCGTTTCGATCTTGGCAGCCTAGTTCGGCCCTGAGATTTTAGCAGCCTCTCCGTACTCGTCCTACCTGGCGCTGCCGTACCAGGGGCTTTTTCGGGGTCAGGGGAATGAGGCCCATATTTGTTACTGTTTTTGGCATTTTGATACCCAACTTGTAGCTTGCCAGGCTCTAAACGTGGGGCTGGGTACTCACGAGTAGCTTGCCAGTCTCTCTCGGAGGAGCGGGAGTAGCTTATTTGTTGGAGGTGACTCCTAACCGCCTCCCATGTACTTTCCAGCCGCTTGATTGCAGGCTTTTATTCGACTTGACTCACAAAAATAGAGTTTTTGTCAAGTTGGCGCTGCAAAAGCAGGGGAGCTCACCCCTGAATCCATTTGCGTCTCTGGAAAGCACACGGTCGCTTTTGGTTCGCGTTTATCCCCCAGTCCACCACCTGGAAACACGCCACGTACCCTCGCGACTAACCGGGCGGGATCCCTCAAAGAGGGTGATAACGGTCTTGGAAAAAGAAGTGAGAGGGAGCGGTGTTACTATGTCTGTACCCCTTAGAGGACGACGTGTACTAGCTCAGGTACATTATTGTTTGAAGGCCTTTCTCGCTACAGGAGAGTTTTCTTTTAGACATTCGCTGATTATTTGAAAGCTTGAATTTCCACGATTCCAAAAACCTGTTTAGCTTCATAAAAGCTTTTTATTACGCTGCAAAAGCAAAAATAAAACTATTTTTCACGTTCAGTTTTCTTCATTAGCCCGCTTGGGGCCGTTATATGGCTCTTCACTGAAGTTTCAATACTCATTAGATAGCCCAAATCTCGAGCACTTTGGTGATAAAACAAATTTACCGGAAGTTTCCCCATATGACGACGAAAAAGCGAAAATATGATCACATTTCACGCCTAAAATGCTATCCCTCCGCTCGGACATCATCGGTATTTATAGGTGACGTTTATGACTCAGAAATGCCTTATCGTTATATGAAGGATGGAATATCACGACTGAACCTTCTGTCAAGATTTTTTTGATACAGAGAGTGCCAACTCCTCTTGAAATGTTTCTTTATACAGGTAGTACCACATCAGTTTACAAAAATGTATTTCAACCCCTGTTGAGCATTTGTATCGCCTGTTTTGCGAGAACGTAGCTTGAAAACACATCTTTTACAAATGAACATCTTTAATCGAAGATTGTGTTAAGGTTTTTTTAATATTTAGCTCAAGTGAGTGTAGGAAGAGCGCTCGTTCATCATTGCTCATGATGCGTCACTTTCCCTATTAGCACCCATAATAAAAAAAAAGTATTTTTCTTTCTTTCTAGGCACTTTATTAGTTATTCGATAGCTTAAAACTCAAAAAATAAAAGGTGTACTTGATTTTTGAGAGCTCTCTGTATTACACTGTAACAACGGAAGGAATATATTATTTAACACTTGAGCATCTTTCGATGAGCAACGCCTTTTCGCAAGAGAAATGGAGCACTTCTTCGACAGCACATATCTCGGCAAATTTAGCTTAACAATTTCGAGGATATGTTTAGTGTTCGAAAGAGTCTTTTTAGTTCGTCGTTACAGCTAAGAGAACATTGAGCTTTACACTAGGCGCGCACAGGACGCCACATGTAAATTGCGCTGCGCGACCGACACGGCTGAATCAAAACTCAATGACCTTGTGGCTGTAACAAGACACTAGAACGTCCTTTTTAAAGACCAAGCTTGTCATTGAGATTGTTAAGTTTTATGCTATCAAAAAATTGAAGGTCTGAATGGAATCCCTTGTTTAGCGAAATATGTCTGAATGTG